GATGGATGTTTTGCCATTTTCCCTGGATAATGCTGTCTGCAGGAGCACTTTGTCCCCGAGGCCTGGGGCCACCACCAGCTCCCAGTGCCCCTTTTCCACGGGAGGGAACATCATGACAATCCCCAGGGAGCGAAGTGGTGGTGCCCTGCTCTTGCAGATCAGTCCATAAAATCAGATTTTAGTGCCAAAAGCTGGGATTTGAGACTGTGCCGGCTTGGACAGAGCCGGGCTTTGTTTCATAGGTTAAAAACACATACATTTCCTTGATGTGCTCTTGGTTTTATTTTTAACTCTTAAGCAATTTAATGTTTTGTAGCCCTGCTAGTATTTCCCCCAGTTTTCCATCTGCTGCCGGGATTAATTGAAGTTTTAGCTCTCTATTGCCAGCCCAGAGCACACGGAATGGAAACCTCACCTATATTACTTGGCACGGCGCAGCAGACGTGAATAACTTTGGAATTCGGGGGGAAAAGAGGAGTTCTGTGTTCTTGGAGCTGCAGGGGGGTTGGAAAGCAGCCCTTGCAGACAGCAGGGTGCTGTGCAGGGTCAGGCTGGGGTTCCCCTGGGTGCACAGCTCCGGGCTGGAGTTGGGGGCTGTTCCTGAGGGGTCGGAAGCCACACTGGGAGGCAGCAGAGCAGCGAGTTCCTCAGAGACAGCCAGGCACGATGATGTGCCAGAGCTTTTTTCCCCCCCTTCTTCAGTCCTAGAAGCACTGTGAGGTAGTGGAAATTTGGAGTGTGGTGGGGAAGGCGGGACTGATCTCCTCAGGCTGTGGGAGGAAGGAGCGGAGCCTGGGAGCTCACCTGGCTTTGGCCAAAAATGGGTATTTTTAACCTGGATCAAGTTTGGGATGAGCCACACAGGTGTGTGTGTGTGTGTCCATCGTTCCCAGGGCCAGCTGGGAATGAGGAAGGGAGTGGGAATGAGGAGGGAATGAGGATGGGGATGAGGAGGGAATGAGAATGGGGATGCAGCACAGTGGGGCAGCTTCAGCTGCTGCTGCCAGTGGCAGAAATGGGTTTTTAAGGAATCCTAAAGGAGTCTGGGTATCCAGTGTAAAGGTGCAGCTCTTCCTGAGCTGATGGAATTCTGCTCTGCTGGCAAAGGCTCTCCAGCTGTGCAAGTGTTGGTGGTGACACCGGGGGAGAGGAGGGAGTGGGGCCATCCCTTCTGCCAGCACTTTAGATTGTTCCAGGGGGGGATAATTCCACTCTCAGGAACCTTCAAAACTCTAATTGGGTAAAGATGGAAATAGAAACCACAGGTCGCAGACCTGTAGTTAACTGAAAACTCTGGAATGTGTGAAACCCACAGTCCTGAGGGCTGGAAGTGGCCGGGAGACCTTGGTGAGTCATTTCACTGGAACACTGAGAGCAAGAAACCCAGACAGCGAGTCATCTGCTTGGGTTGGACTGGAGTCCAAACTGCTGGAGCTGCTGAGGCCGAGCTGGCCAGTCCAGGAGCCTTCCTTGCCATGGATCCTGCTGGAACAGCCGCAGTTACGCCATGAGGAGCAGCACACTTGGGTTTCAGGAAGCCCTTTGGTGCAGGGCCATGCAGGGATGGAAGGAAAATATATTGCTTCCCATTTCAGTAAAAATATCACGGCTTAGGAACTAGTTTTCCAGCAGGGAGTGGTTGTTAAGAATAAGACCAGCTGAAGAACAGTGTTGGCGCAGGTTTGAGGGAAGGGATGATGTAGAATCGTGGAATCATGGAATATCCTGAGCTGGAAGGGACCCACAAGGACCATCAGTCCAACCCCTGGCCTTGCACAGACACCCCAACAATCCCACCCTGTCCCTGAGAGGATCATCCCAACCCTCCTGGAGCTCTGGCAGCCTTGGGGCTGTGCCCACTGCCCTGGGGAGCCTGGGCAGTGCCAACCACCCTCTAGGGGAAGAACCTTTTGCTGAGATCCACCCTGAGCCTGCCCTGGCACAGCTCCAGCCATTCCCTGGGGGCTGTCCCTGTCACCCAGAGCAGAGATTGGACCTGCCCTTCCTGAACAAGCTGCAGACCCTGATGAGTCTCCCCTCAGCCTCCTCTGCTCCAGCTGAACACACCAAGTGCCCTCAGCTGCTCCCTGTGGTCCCTCCAGACCCTTCCCCTTCCTCGTGGCCTCCTTTGGATGCTCTCTGATGGATCCACACCTGCCTTAGGCTGCACAGGGAGCCAAGGTGGCAGTTTGCCTCCCAGATCCCTCCCCAGAGATGAAGTGAGGGGCTGGGGGGACTCTGGTGTGACCTGGGTCCTGTCCATGGCATGGTCAAGGACTTGGACATGGGCGGGTGTCACAACTGCTTTAAATCCCTGCCTGAGCAGTGAGCAGGTGCAAATCACCCACAGGGGCTCGAACCTGGCTGCACTGGAGGTGAATAAACACTCCATAAATAATTCAGGAAGGATTTTCCCTGCTGGAGAGGGCAGGGGTGTCTGACCTGAGCCCCAGCAGTCACTGAGGTACGTGGAGAGAAGGAGCAGGGTGAGATCACATGGAATTCATTTTTGGGATGAGATCACTGGGACCTGCTGCCTGCCTCTTGTTTGCCCTGTTCCAGGCTCTCATCCCTGCTGGGCTCTTGCCATGCCTGGATCGTGCAGGGGTTTCCAGGCAGGTTTCTTGTCCCGGTGCCAGCCTGGTGCCTAAGCTGATTAGCTCTAAGGAGATCAGAGCTTGACAAGGGGGGTGCTGCAGGTAAACAGGGAAGCTTTTCCTACAGCTGGGCTCCAGTGAAGCTGTGAAACGTGTTTGCATCCTCAGAGATGAGGAATGAGGGAAGAACCCCCAGGAAAAATACCGAGGAGTGCACTGAATGATGAGTAGAGCTGATAAGGAGCCCGGTGAGAGACTGAGAGGAGAATCAGGCACAGATACCATCAGAGCCTGTAAATACTGTCAACATGACAGCAGGGATGAGCAAAAGGAAGAGTATTTGTTATCTGATGGAAGGCAGGTTTTAGGAAGAGCAGGGATCACAGCAGCAGGCGTGGAGGGGATCCCTGGGAGCAGGTGACACTCCAGGCAGGATGGAGGGAGGGCAGGGGAGAAAACACAACGTGCAGGTGGCAGGAGGGGCTGGGGACCCTGGCTGTCCTCACCCCCTCGGTGCTCCTGAGTGGACCAGGAGGTACAAGTGCACTGGAGGAGTCCCTCGGGGTCCACAGTGTCCCCAGAAAAGAGGAATTTGCTGTCACACTGGACTTGTGGATGGTGTTTGGAGCTCGTGTCGCTCTTCCTGTGCGTGATGGCAGGTGGTGGCTGCATCCCACCAGTGCTTCTGGGGATGCCCTGGGGTGAGGGTCACCCCGGGAGGCAGATGCCACATAGATCACTCCTGGATCACCCCGAGCTCTCCTGCTTTGCAGCCAGGAACCCTGGGATGCCATGGATGGCCAGTGCCCTCTCAGCAATCCCTCATCCCCCAAGGCTCTCCTGGCTGTTGTGATGCCCAGCAGTGTAGTCAGCACTGCACACACCCTGTCCTGGCACCTGCAGTCCTGCCAGGGATTTATTTCAATCCTGGTTTTCCAGGTGCCATTGAGCAGCCCTGGGTGTCTGATCCTGGCAGCTGCTCTTGGTGGGGTTGGTGGCAGCTCGGACTGTCCACATCCCTGCTCTTCCCTTTGGGATGGGGTTTGTGTGAGGAAGCAGAGGGGTCTGGGCTCTGGGATGGTCCTGAGGATCCTCTTGCAATAAAGCTGTAGGGCTGCCCATGGCACAGCTTGGGAAGGGGGGGATCCTGCAGGGAGGGTTTGGTGCCCAGGCATGGATTTGTTGATCCCTGCTGTGCCACACACGGGGACCAGCTGGCCCTTCCTCATGCCCTGGCAGCAGTTCTGGATGGACTGTGGTGCTCAGGGGTTAACTGGGCATAACTGGGGCCAGTCTGGGAATTTAAACTGGAGCCCAGAAAGTGCTGGAGACAGAGGTGCTCAGCGGGTTTTCCACCCCAGCCCTCGCCCCTACTCCTCTCTGCTGGGCTGATAGGGATCCTCTCCAGCCCCGGTGCTGGCATTCCTGGCCTGCATTCCCCAGCTCTCCAGGAGCACAGGTGTGACAGTTGTGGAAAGCTGCCTTGGGAGCCAGTGGCCAGCCCGTGCCACCCTTCCCTGGAGAAGCGCCCCTGGAAGGGTGGCAGGAGATCTGTGCTGACATCAAAGGAGCCAGCAAACGATAGGCATCATCTAATTGCTGCCTCTCCCTCTGACTCGGGGCTTTCAGGCTGGGATCCTTATCTCTGGGGGTTGGGCATCTCTGTTACCCAGATAAGGTCCAGGTGGGGACGGTTAACAACCTGAGGAGTTGTTGGAATGAAATGAAACGGCATTTCATGGTCTGGTTGGGAGAGAAGTGTCCTTCTGCAGCCCCCAGCCTGCAGGGGAGAGTGATTTCCCTTAGGAGTGTGCTCATGGAAGGGAAGGAGGTGTGGAGCACCTTCTGGGATGGAAGGTGGCTCCTGAGCTGTGGCAGCTCAGGGAATTGCTGTCCTCTCTGCTGGATGGAGGTGGCTGGTCACAGAATCCCAGGATGGTTTGGGTTGGAAGGGACCTGAAAGCCCATCTTGTTCCATCCCCCTGTCATGGGCAGGGACACCTCCCACCAGCCCAGGTTGCTCAGATCTCCATCCAACCTGGCCTTGGACACTTCCAGGGATCCAGGGGCAGCCACAGCTTCTCTGGGCAACCTGTGCCAGGGCCTGCCCACCCTCCCAGGGAAGAACTTTCTCCTAAAAAAAGGAAACTGGAGCTCAGGACGGGTCCTCGGTCTCTCACCTCGTGTGGTCCCGTGCCCAGCCCTGCCCCTGGGTGCCCTGTGATTCACTGGGGGGCCAAAAAACCAACATCCAGAGGAGATTTCTCTGTGTAACTCTGTCACCAGGAGCTCACAGAAACCAATTACCCACCTGCAACCCCGCTGCTGGTGTTTGCTCCAGCGGGGTTCGCTCCAGCCTTTCCCTGCTGTCTGTGCCTCATGGCTCTATCCCTCTCCCCACAGAATTCCATGAACCTGCCTCCCGACAAGGCCCGGCTCCTGCGGCAGTACGACAACGAGAAGAAGTGGGAGCTCATCTGTGACCAGGTGAGGGGGCCCTGGGGGGATTTTGGGGAGCTGTGTCACCGCCCAGTGCTGCTGGTGGTGCCCTGCAGTCACCTCTCAGCCCGCTCTGTCCTGACCCCTGTGCTGAACACACGCTCTCAATCCGGGCAGTATTTGGGTCCCCACGTCCCCAGCATCGTCCCTGCCAGCAGTAGCTGTCACCTGCAGGCACAGGAGGCTGGTGATGCAGCCTGAACTCCCGTTCACCTCCAGAGGCTGCCCACGACCTCGGATTAGGCAGCGACAGATGCTGAGGCATCTCCGTGTGGGAGCTGGGCAGGCCTCGCAGAGCACATGACAATTAACAGGTTGGCTCTGCCAGGGTGCATAAGCAGGAGTGGCATTGCTGGGATAATGGATTGTGGAAGAGGTAGGATGTGCGTTTGGGAGCCAGCAGCAAAATCAGCGTCTGCCAGGAACGGCAGCGGTGATGGCTGATGGAAAATCATCCATCCAGGACTGGGAAAGGAGGGTGGTCACTTGAAATATAAACACAGGAATCCCAGGGTGGGAGTTTGGCAGGAGTCATGCTGGAGGTCAGGAATATTTGGGTAAATTTATGGGATATTTCCTATTTAGCTGCGACAGTGGTGGAGCCTCTGAGGAAACTGTAGAATCCCAGACTGGTTTGGGTGGGAAGGGACCTTAAAGCCCATCCAGTGCCACCCCCTGCCATGGGCAGGGACACCTTCCACCAGCCCAGGTTACTCCAGCCTGGCCTTGGACACTTCCAGGGATCCAGGGGCAGCCACAGCTTCTCTGCCCAACCTGTGCCAGGGCCTGCCCACCCTCCCAGCCAGCAATTCCTTCCCAATCTCCCATCTGTCCCTGCCCTCTGGCAGTGGGAAGCCATTGCACAGGCACCTTAAAGTAGAGCTGAATAAAGAATTACTTGGTCTTCTCCCATGAGTTTTCTGTGCAGAGAATGTAAAGCCTGACCTATTTAAAGTTTTGGTTTAGTGAGACACTGAAAAATTGCAGGAACTGCTGTGAGTGATTGTGGCCTCCCCTGGATCCCTGGAAGTGTCCAAGGCCAGGTTGGATGGGGCTTGGAGCAACCTGGGCTAGTGGAAGGTGTCCCTGCCCACGGCAGGGGGTGGGATGGATGAGGTTTAAGTCCCTTCCAACCCAAACCGTTGTGGGATTCTGTAATTCCGTGATTTGTTTCCTGGGTGTTTTCAGAGCTCAGGGAAGCGTGAGCTCCGTGTGCTGCCCTTGCTCCGAGCTGGCAGCAGGACAGGCAGAAGCAGTTTGATCCCAGCCTGGATGTGCAAATTCCCACCTCGGAGCTGATCCACCCCGTGCAGCTGCTGCTGATTCACTGCCGAGCTCGGGGATGGGAGGGCTGAGCAGATGGGAAGGAAATCTGCAATCTGGAGCAATTGTGGTTCTTAACAGCTCCTTGCACAACTCCAGTCCACCCCCGGGTTGGGATGAGGCCGCTTCCCATCTCCTGGAGAGGCAGGGAAGCGGCACAGGGCTGATGGAACCGGCACTGTGAGCTCAGCACTGCGAAGAGGAGGAGGAGGAGAGGTGACCATGTGCCACCCTGCCCATGTCCAACCGTGCAGGGGGACACTCCTGGGCACAGAGGGGCTCTCTGGGGTCAGTCCCATCCCAGGGGGGTCCTGCCAACCCCCTCTGAACCTCATCATCCTGAGCAGGTGTTGGTAAAGGCACCCAAATGCAGCAGATGGGGTGTGAAATATTTATGTGTGTCCCTGTAATGACGGGGCCAAAAGCACCTCCAGGAATAGGGTTTGGGGACAGGGGCTGAGTTTGCTGTGGGGGCATATTTTCACTGGTGTTTTTTTTCCCTTGGTTTCACCCCCCACACACACCATTTTCACCTGGTTTTGCTTGTGAATGAATGTAGCAGCTTGAGGGAATTAACTCTTTCTCTCCCCAACTTATATTTGAAAGGACAAAGTGTCCAGGGGTTGATCTGCACTGATGTTTTCTAAGTAGTCTGAAAGGCAGATCCTGGATGTTTGTACGTGGAATATTTTGAGAATATTGGAGACAGTTTGGCCCCCAGAAGGAACTTTCACTTTTGAAAAAGATTAACAAAACTGGGGGGAGCTACAGGTCTGCTGCTGATGCTGGTGATAATAATAATAATGATAATAATGATAATAATCATCATCTGCCATGAGTAGGATTATGTGCTTCGTTGGGAAACCTTGCAAGGGTTGCAGGGCTGGTTGTGGAGGACTCGTCCCATGTGGAATTTTGTGTCCTTTGTCTGTAAAACCTTGGAAGTGTCTCAGCATTGCACTGGTGTCCTCAGAGCCTGCTCCCTACCCTTGGTTAGTGGAGGAGGAGGAGGAGGAGAAGAGCAAAGCCAGAAAACTTGTTGCCCACCCTGGAGAGGGTCAAGGGTGGTCATCTGTGGGGTTGGCACTGGGAAGGATCCAGGCAGGGAAGAGGATGCCCCTTCCTGGTATGGGAAGCCAGGAAATGGGATCCACCACCCAGGTGGGTGCCACGAGGTGTTCCAGAGGGACAGGGATGTGGAGGGAAGAGGTTGGGAACATCTTCCAAAGTTCTTCATTGCCCTCTAATGGTAAAGGGTGGCAGGGGCATCACCACATCCTCACCTCGCAGGAGGTGTGTGGGGGTGGGGAGACTGGAAATGAAAGGTGTGTGGTTCACACCCAAACTATCCCCAGGGAGGGGTTTGGAGAACCTGGTGAAAGTCCAGAAGAAGTTGGTCCTGGTTGGTTTGGAGGCTGGTGGCCATCGTGGTGGTGGGTTTGTCCAGCAGCTCCTGGGTGGGGTCCTGTGCCACCCCTCAGCTTTGCTCCAGGGGTCTCCAACCCCTCCAGGCCTCTTTTGGGGGTAGTTTCACCCCACACAAGCCCCTCTGGGTGCCTTGGGGGGCTCCGTGTGCCATGTCAGGGGTTGTTTGCAATGGGAAGGGTGTGGGAATGTTGAATGCACAGCCCCAGGTGAGGAGGAGCTTGAGCCCCCAGCTCTGCCCGAGGGATCCATGGATCTCTGTGGATGCTGGTGGAGTGAGGAGCAGGGTTTTGTGGGAATGTTGTGCCACTGATTTGTCCCAAATAGCTCAGGGGAGCGCCAGCCCTCTCCTCAGAGCTGTTCTGGAGGGGCAATGTCACCACGTGGTGCCATTGACCCTTGCCAGTACCCAACCAAGCCTTTTCCATCTCTTCCCAAGGGCTGCATTTACACCTCTGGGTTGAGAACCTTTTCTTAAAAAAAGCTAGTGACTGTCAGTGAATCTCCCCAGCTGGGGGGAAATACAGGGGAGAACATAACAGGTTGTAGTGGCCTGGGGAGCTGTTGAACTTAGAGACACCCCTGGCTTTGTCTGGCTGGGTGGCCCTGAGAGGGGACTGGAGGAACATCAGACACAGAGGGCTGGGGTGGCTGGAGATGAGGCACGAGGGGTGTCCAAGGCTCAGGGTGGTGGGGCTGATCTCCAGCTGATCCCATCGGATGCTCCGTGTGCTCCCCGAGCATTTGTGAATCCTAGGAATGAAACAGCTTAGCCAGGGTGATGCTGGTGATGACAATAACACATGTGCTGATGCAGAGAAATGCCCTGAATGTTTTTTGGGAGCCAGAGGTTGTTGGAGGAGCCACGATTTCCTGGTTACGGAATTAATACGTTTTCCAGAGTCGCGTGACCGGGAGATGCGTCGAGGTCTCTGCAGGATCATGTGGAAGAGGAAATGCAGAAATCCAGCAGTTCCTCTTGGCTGCTGAAGTAAAACCCCCCCCCAGCCCACGTTGTTTTTTTAATCCATCGTAAAAGAAAGGGCTAATTCTGGATGTTGCTGGTAAAAGAGGCACAGGAGAGTGTTGTGCTGCTGCATCCAGGCTCTCCCCCTGGATTACAGGATCATGGAATGGTTTGGGTTGGAAGGGATCTTAAAGATATCCCATTCCACACCCTGCCCTGGGCAGGGACACCTTCCACTAGCCCAGGTTGCTGCAAGCCTTGTCCAGCCTGGCCTTGGACACTTCTAGGGATCCAGGGGCAGCCACATCTTCAGTGAGTTTCCAAGTGGTTTTCCAAGGGGCCTTTGTCCTCGGGAATTAAGTTAGTTTGCTTTGTGGGTGGCTGACAAAGGCAGTGGTGAGTTGTTGCTGCTCTGCCTCTCCTTTCGGGTCTGTGGGTGACGTTGGTGCTCACATGAGTCACCCAGAGGAGATAAAACGGGTTCCATCAGGATGGATTAGCGTTGTTGTGTCTGAAGGGCTCAGTCCCGGCGGGGCCGGGAGGAGAAGCCACCACGTCCGTCCCAGTCGTGACGTCACCCCCTGGCTCGTGCTGTTTGCTGAGCAAAGTTTGGGCCACTCAGATCTGCATTTTAAACTTCATGTGCGTGTGGTAAAACCCCCCCAACCCTCCGACCTCCTCCTTCAAAGAGTGTCAAACCCTCGCCGTAAAAATCGGGATTTGGAGAGCGGATTTGGCCGGGGAGCGGCTGGGAATTGCCAGGAGTGGAGAGGAGGAGCAGGCAGGAGAAAGCAATGAATCTCAGCTCTTTATTTCTGCTTTCTGAGGCACGTGGTTTGCAGAGCAGGGCCTTGGTGCTGGCTGGGAATTGTGGTGGAGGACCCCAACTCCACGGCACTGATGGGGAGAGGAGTGTCAGCCTCCAGCCAGCCCCACCCCGTGGGAGCTCCCAGTCAGTTTTTTGGGAGCAGGAGAGTTGTAACAAGGCACTCAGGGTGATCCAGAGGCTTCAGGAAGCCTCAGGCTGCCCTCTCTGCACAGCACCAAGCCCTGATTCTTGCAGCTTCTTAATGAGCCTCTAATGTAAAACAGCCAAAGCTGGATAAACCCAGACAGTCATCACAGCCAGGAAAGGGCAGTTTTAAAGGCTAATCCCTCGTGGCTTTCCAAACCAGAAAAAAAAACCCAACTCAACACTTTAAGGGGCTTTGAAAATCTTTCCAGGACTAGGAGATGTTTCCCATAAGTGGTTCTTGGTCACTTGTTAGGGAAAAGCATTGCTGGTGGCTGCTGTTTCATGGATAATGGCTCTAAAATCCTCCAGCCCGAAGGATTCCACTCCACAGGAATAAGCAGCGTCTTTTTAACTGAAGTTGCTGTAGAAATTATTACATAAATACATAATTACAGCCAGGTATTAAGAAAACAAACAAAAACATCGAGTATCTGCAGCCCAGACTGCAAAACGTGCTCGTTGAGTCTCCTTAAACATTTTCGTTTTGAAGACTCCGGCTATTAAAGCTGGCAGTTGGGAAAAGCTCCTGTCACCTCAGCAGCTGATTAGTTGGGAAGAGAAATAAATCCTTCAGAGCAAAGTAGCTCCTCTGGAGGATTAGACTAAACCCAGCAGGAGAGAACCCCCAAAAAGGGAGGGGCAAATGGGAGAGGGGAGGTGTAGCCTTGCTAGGCTGGGATGCTGCTGTCAGGAGGAGCAGGGGGTTGGAACTGGATGATCCTTTGGGTCTCTTCCAACCCAAACCCTTCTGGAATCATTCTGTGACCTTTGGCTCGGTGCTCCACCACTTGGAGATGCAAAGAGTAGGATTTGGACGTGAGTGTCAAGTGGCACAGTGAGAACACTTTTACCCTGGTGGGTTTTGTAGTAAAGAGTGGGATTATTGAAGTGCTGCAGCATCTCTGGAACTCGTCGGGAACTGCTGAGGGGGAAAATGAGGAATGGTGTGGTCTCCAAGGTCCAGGTACCTCCACAGCTCTTCACTGGTCAACCATGGGCCAGATTCTCATTTACAAAGTGCTTTTTTGTCTGTCTGCCAGTGGGAAGGAGTTTTAAAAGGGGTTAATGGGTGGAAAATGCTGTTAAATAACTTATATTTATGCCCAGTGTAAAACCACAGTGTCCTGGAGGGGCTGTAAGGCTGACTCAGAAACTGGCCCAGCACAGTCCTGTCAGACTGACAGAGGGAAATTTAGGTTTGGTATTGGGAAGGAATTGCTGGCTGGGAGGGTGGGCAGGCCCTGGCACAGGTTGGGCAGAGAAGCTGTGGCTGCCCCTGGATCCCTGGAAGTGTCCAAGGCCAGGTTGGACGGGGCTTGGAGCCACCTTGGATAGTGGAAGGTGTCCCTGCCCATGGCAGGGGGTGGGATGGGATGGGCTTTAAGGTCCCTTCCCACCCAAACCATCCTGGGATTCTGTGATTCCAGAAAGGGGTCTGTCTGAGCCATTGGAACCGTCTGAGATGAGATGGCTCCAAGAATCCGTGCTGTGGAGCCAAGAGGAAATCATGGCCATGGTGCAGGGGGAGGATGGAGCAGGACAGCCCCTGGCGGCGTCCCCTTGGCCAGAGAGGAGCTGTCAGTGAGGAACTCTGCGTTTTCTGGACTGTTTTATAGATAAGAAAGGAAATGCCCATTCCAGAGCCGTGTTTGGCCCGTGGGTGTGAAGGTGCCTGGAAAAAGACTCCGGTTGTAAAAGAGGAAAGCCAAGTCTGCTGCGTGTCCTCAGAGCTCTCACCAGGGCTGAGGGACCAGGGCAGACTTGTGTGTTCATTTTTTCCTGCTGATCACGGTGAATTGCCTTTTTTTGCAGCAGGATAATAACAGGAAGAACTCGTGGTGTTCAGACAGTTCTGGTAACTGGGCAGCAGAGTCCTGTTCGTTCTGGAATGACTTTGGGATAACGTAGTCAAGATTGCATCCTGACCTAATAAAGGGAGGGTTCAGATAACAGTTATAAAATGGGACATTGCAGGAGGAAATTGGGATGAGGTCTTTCCTCCAGGGAGAGGGGCAGAACAGTTTAGAACTCTTCCAAAGATACAAATAGCATCAGGACTTTTTGGTAATGCTCTTAACAGGTTTGGACAGAGCTCGCTCCTCATGGAACAACTCGTGTTTCCCAGCAGCTTTGGTGGGATAAACTTCCAGCAGGCCATGCCACTGGGAAAGCAGGGAAAAATCAAGGAGCTCTCAGGGTACAGGCTCTGCAGACCTTGCGTTGGTCACCAAAATCTGTGATTCAGGCCCAGATGGGGCTGATGGGGGCTGATCGGAGGTCGAGTGTCCCCCTGGCCAAGGGGTTGGAATTTTGAGGGATGAGTCTCAAAGGAAGGCAGGGATTTCATGGCCTGGACTGGCAGCAGGTGGGTGGGTGGGATGGGGAAGGGGATCTCTGTGTGTGACAGGAAGCAGGAAGGCAGGTGAGGGCCATGAGGTGTTTCTCATGGGGAAAGCCCACCAGGGGCAACCTGCCCTCCTCCGTGTCCTGGGGTTGATCACCTGATTCCAGGGAATTCCAGTGGGACAGGGACGGGCATCAGATCCATAATTTCCCTGGGAAAAGCAATGGTGGCCTCAGCAGCATTTGCTGCTCCCTTCCTGGTGAGACCCCCCCTTGCAGAGCTGCCTCCAGCTCTGGGATCCCCAGCACAGCAAGGCCAGGGAGCTGCTGGAGCCAGCCCAGAGGGAGGCACCACGATGATCAGAGGGATGGAGCCCCTCCTGGGAGGAAAGGATGGGAGGAATGGGATTGTTCAGCCTGGAGAAGACAAACTGGTGGGCCCTTTCCAGAGGTAATCCAGTTTAATATCACAGAGTTGGAATATTCCTTCTTCTTGCTAATAATGCTGCTCTTTGGTTCATCTTTCTGGGATCCCAGCAAGGAGTGATGAGGCTTCTCCCATGCCCATGCACTGTGGTTTTGGGCTTTTTCCAAGTGATAAAAGAGGTGTCTTGGCTTCTGTGGTGATGGTTTCAATCAAACGTGGACCTGCATCCACTTTTCTACCCCTTCTCCTTCCTCTCCTGGAGAGCAGAAACCCCAGAACTCCAGATGTGTGTGTTTGTTTGTGTAATTAAAATTCAGAATCGTCCCTGAATATGGAACATGTATTTTTATGCATCTGATATAAATATCCAATTTCAGACTATCAAGATACATACGAATATATTTTATTTACATGCATATCATATGTGCATAAATTACATCCTTAGGAATGTAAGGCATGTACACATCAAACTATATCCTAATTATGTAGCCTTTAAATGTATATGTGGTTTGTATATAGAACAAGTAAATACAGAAGATGCTGTGAAGTGGCTGATGTTTATTCTTGTCTCCTTTGCAGGAAAGATTCCAAGTGAAGAATCCTCCACACACGTACATCCAGAAATTAAAGGGCTATCTGGACCCAGCGGTAACCAGGAAGGTGAGGAGCATCCTGTTTCCTCTTGCTGTCCCTCATCCCTCATCCAGGATGGTCCAGGTTCCTTCCTGCCTTTGTGTACATTCCCTGAAAAGCCTCCCTTCAGAAAGGAGTTGGGAATTTCGCTGCAGTTTTCCCAGCTCGGGGAGGGGAGCAGATGCTGGAAAGCCAAGGACCATCTGACACTCGACAGGACTTGTTTTAACAACGTCAGCTCCAATAAACAGTGGGACAAATTACCACTGAGCTGGGCTGCAGGCCCGGTTTTCATGTGGGCAGGAATTAAAGCCGCTGTCTGAGGGCGCTTTGCTCACCCTCGTGAAGGGGGTGTTGAGTTTGGAGTCCCTTTCCCTGGGAATTTGCAGGGCAGAGGTTCAGTGCAGCTGGCCCAGTTCACTCCCTGTGGGGTGTGTTCATGTGGCACAGGCTCCTCCATCCTTTTGCCTGGTCTTTTATCCCAAATATTTTGGAAATCACTTGTGAAAGACTCAGATGCTTCTCTGAGTGTGGATTCTGTGCTGGGATGTGTCTGGGGCTGGTTCTGGTATTACCGAGGCCAACTCTGATGGGCTTGTTATAAAATCGTGGAATCACAGAATTGTGGAGTGGTTTGGGTTGGAAGGGACCTCAGAGCTCATCCTGTTCCACCCCCAGCCATGGGCACTGGGCCAGGTTACTGCAGCCTGGCCTTGGACACTGCCAGGGATGGGGCAGCCTGGGCCAGTCCCTCACTGGGAAGACTCAGGAATATCCTCCAGGATTTCAGACCCTCAGTAAACGCTCATCCTATTTCCAAGTCCATGGCTGAACCTTTGGGATTTAACCCTGTTGGCCATCAGCTCACATCCTGTGGGACGGCTGGAAGAGCCTCTGGAAAACACCCAAAAGAGGCAGCAGAGGAGATCCTGCCTTGGACTGGCTCTGCCTTGCCCTCGACAATCCCAGCTTTGTGGTGCCAGAAAGAAACCCTGCAGGAAAACACGGATCCTGACAGGGGGCTTCCCTGGAGGTGCTGCTGCATCCCTGGGACAGCAGCAGGGACACGGAGTGCCCTGTGCTCCAGCTCGTGTTTCCCGGTGCCCTGGGACAGTGCTCCTCTTGTTGGCACCCCTGACCATGAGGAGGAGCCCATTCAGCGGGATCCCACTGAGTTGGAAACCTTTGGATCTGCCTGGAGCTGCTCAGGGTTGTTTTGAGAACGGGGTGAACGAGGTCTTTGTGTTTTTCCTCCTGAGGGGTTCCGAGGTTCGCTGAGTGTTTGGCTTCGCTCCGTGGGCCCACATTGAGGCCTTTCTTGTCCTGGTGCCACTCTTGAGGGTCCCATGACAAATGACAAACCCAAAGGGCCTAAAAATAACCCCGCTGAGTTCCTCTTTGTTGGGGTTGTTCCGTGTCACCCTCAGCCTTTCCTGAGCCCGGGCTGTGGCATGGAAAGATGTGCACGTGGAGATGGGAGAGCTCCTCCCACTGGGATTATTGCTGGGATTGAGGTGGTGTCAGTGGTTTTGCTGCTGATCCCCAGCGTGGCCAAGGGGAGGTGGCTCCAAGCTGCTGGAAGGGGGGTGTTTCAGCTCCTAATTGGGGTTGTAATGGCTCTTCCCGGGAAAACGATTGCTGTTTGGCCGAGCTGAGCTTTGGAGCAGGGAATAAAAAGGAATAAAAAGGTGTTGAAATGACACATTTTTAAAAGCAGCTGCAGTTTGGTGGCTCTTGGAGCTCATTAGGCACCAAATTGGGTCATTAAGGGGCTGAGGGCGCTTGGTTTGCTCAGCTGGAAGAGACTGAGGGGAGACTCATGGGGGTCTGCGGCTTCCTCCGGAGGGGCAGCCCCAATCTCTGCTCTGGGTGGCAGGGACAGCACCCAGGGAATGGCTGGAGCTGTGTCAGGGCAGGCTCAGGGTGGATCTCAGGGAAAGGTTCTTCCCCCAGAGGGTGGTTGGCACTGAACAGGCTCCCCAGGGCAGTGGGCACAGCCCCAAGGCTGCCAGAGCTGCAGGAGGGTTGGGATGATTCTCTCAGGGACATGAAGGGATTGTTGGGGTGTCTGTGCAAGGTCAGGGGTTGGACTGGATGGTCCCTGTGGGTCCCTTCCAGCTCAGGATATTCCAGGATTCTCTGATGCTCCCTGCCCTGGTGGCAGAGCAGCCTGGCCTTGCTGGGGGTGACAGTTCCATGTGGGAATGTGCTGCCTGTTCGTGCCATGCCCTCCCAGCCCATCACCCATCTGCCTCCTTAAACATCAATATCTGACCTTGATTTCTGGGCAGGGAAGGTTTTATGTTGCTGGAGTTACAACTGTGTGCTCTGAGCTAATTAAAGAGGTGTAGAGAAGCTGTGTCTGAGCCATGGGCAGGGACACCTTCCACCAGCCCAGGTGGCTCCAACCTGGCCTTGGACACTTCCAGGGATCCAGGGGCAGCCACAGCTTCTCTGCCCAACCTGTGCCAGGGCCTGCCCATCCTCCCAGCCAGGAATCCCCTCCCATTCTTCATCCACTTTGGCTCTCCTTTCCCTTGTTCAAAAATGAGGATTTGCCCAGATTTATCCAGCTGCTGTGGCACTTTCCCGTGGGCAGGGGAGAAGAAGACAATCCTTCTCCAGGTGGGAGAGGAGGTGACCTCGTTGTCTCTCTCTCTACCCCTGGTTTTGCAGAGGAAGGAGAGGATCTGCTCTAGAGCTCAGCAGAGAGTTTGATGCTAAACCAGAGCTTGTTTCATAAAGAAAGGTTTATTTATCTACGGGCTTTTAATTTTCCTAATCCTGGAAGCTCCAGAACGTTCCTGGGAACAGAAGTGTTTCCTCCACGCGTGTTTTTGTTGACTGCTGGAGTGTTGTCGGTGCATTCCTGGGGATTTTGAGGAGCTCTCAGTTTAGCTGAGAACTGTTTTCATTATCCAGTCTGAGATGTTGATGTTCTTTAACAGCATCCCACGACTCTAATTGTTATTTTTGCTGCTCCCTCCATTCCAGAAGTTCCGAAGACGAGTCCAGGAGTCGACCCAAGTGCTGCGAGAACTGGAAATTTCCTTAAGAACAAACCACATCGGGTAGGGAATTTTGGTGCCTCCGCTCCCAGATTTATTTTTTTTTCCACATCTCCTGATGGATGTCTCTGAGAAAACATCTCTTTGCATGTCAGGCAGTGATACCACTTGACTGATCGGTAAAGCCTGCGGGGCTTAGTTAAGCAGAGCTGGGCACCCTCAGGGGAATAATTCAGCTTTAATCCTTGCCTGAAACATTCACCCATCTCTGTGAAGGCTGAGGAGACACTGAAGTCAACTTCTGCCCATCCTCAGCCCGTAGTTGTGTCTAGAATAGTAATAGAGCTAAATATATATTTTTATTTATTTATTTATTTATTTATTTATTTATATAAACACCCCCCCCACACACACCCCCACCCTCCTCGCTGTTTAGTACCTGTAACATGGTGCAGTTCATGAAGTCTGAAGACCAGAATAACTCAAAGGTGATGAATTCCCACCCTGGCAGCCTGGGGCTCCATATCCCTCCCTGGATCCCCAGGAATTCCAGTGGTACCTCCTCACTCCCAGCGGGATTTGCTGCCCTGGTTGGGGTTGAGAGCTGAGCTGGGCTGTACTGAGACTCTTTTGCCCCCCTGGCTTTGCCCCTAAATGGATGGAATTCCAAACTTCACTTGGCATCTTACGAATCTTAGGAAGATAACTGACTTTTCTGAATTATTTTGTGAAACTCAGGGGCCAAAATTCGCTGTAACAGGTTAATACCTTTTAAAAAGAGAAGGCCAAATTACTGCTGAGTGCACATCCAGGATATCCATCAGATTATTCTTTTCCTGCTGTGCTGCCTTTAGGCTTTTATGGACATTTAGAGATCAGGATGGGATCAAAACTAAGCCAGGTCCCTGTGACTTTGTGTGTGTGGAGGTGACCATCACAAAAAAACCCCTGAGTTCAGTACGTTTGTAAAGCCTTTGAAAGTCTTCTGAATAATAAAGGTTATTTTTAAAACCCTTTTTTTTTTTTTTTTTTTTTCTCTGAGGGAAAATTAAGGTTCTGATGTTTCTTTCGCAGGTGGGTGAGGGAGTTCCTGAATGAGGAGAACAAGGGCCTGGATGTTCTGGTGGAGTACCTGTCCTTTGCACAGTATGCAGTCACGTGAGTACCACCTTCCTGGGGCATTCCTGCTGGGAAATACACAGTCCTGCTGGACATCAGGGAATATTCCATCACGGGAAGAGTGCTCAGGCATTGGAAGGGGCTGCCCAGGCGGAGTCAGCAGCTCAGGAACGAGTGGATGTGGCACTTGGGGACATGGCTTAGTTGCCAAGGTGGTGTTGGGTGAAAGGTTGGACTGAATGACCTTGGAGGCCTTTTCCAGCCTTAGTAATTCCATGATTCTGGGTCCAAAGAGCAGACAAAAGGGTAATTTGAGTCTGGAGTTATTTCACCCCAAGCCTAAATTTAAACCTTGAGGTTTTTTTATCTCCAGGGCTGTAGTGACACATGTTCAGCTCTGGCCTCTGATCCTCTCAGGGGTGCACAAAACCAAATGTGTGGCAGGCTGGAGGCTCCCTTGGAAACAGGTTTGGAGTCGGTGCCCAACCCTAAGGAATTGTGTCCCTGCTGTGTTCAAAGGGCACGTCCACACCCCAGGCAGAGCTGGGGGTGTCCTGGGCAGCAGATGTGCTCCAGGAAAGCAGGAGGAATTTCAGGGGGAAGGCTGGAAAGCAGTTTGTTCCCTCCTGCCATCTGGGTAGTGTGGGGTCACATTTATTTAGTTGTGTGGGTGATGAATCGTGGCACGTGTTCTGAAAGCAGAGTGGGGAAATGACCTTCCCTGAGTTGTTGTATCACAGGACTGCAAGTGGATTTGCAGCAGAGAATCTGTTTTAAGTATTTATTTGTTTTATTAATTTATTTATTGTCATGGAATCGTCCCAGACTGGTTTGGGTTGGGAGGGACCTTGAAGCCCATCCCTGCCACGGGCAGGGACACCTTCCACTAGCCCAGCTCCAAGCCCTGTCCAACCAGGCCTTGGACACTTCCAGGAATGGGCCATTATATCCACATTAATTCAGGGTATTGTAGCAGATTTTTTTATGTAGAAGTGTCCTAAAAGAAGCCTTAAGTTAAAGACACTGATAATCTATTTTTAGCAGAGCTGCCCTCAGATTTATGGTATATCATTGCACAGTAAAGGGATTTTTGGTGGGGTTGCAGAAAAATTAATGAGGGAAAATTATATGGTTTAAAATGTTGCTAACTGGAAAAAACTGTGCAGAGCAAAAAGAAATGTTTAGGGAGAGACTCTCTTCCTAAATTTACACAAATGCACGCAAGTGACTCGCTTGGTTCTTCCCCCCTGACATGGTAAACATGAGTAATAACCTCAAAAGCTGTAAAGGGAACAAGAATTCCTGCTTGAAACAACAGAACAACGGGCAGGGAGTCAGCACTCGAAGAGGATCTGGGGTGGTGATGGTGACTTATTGCATGTGCTGGGAGGTGGTGGAGGAAACCAAACTGGTGCTTGGGCAGCTGAACTGTTGAGATGAAATGGAGAGGGGTCCCAGCATTCCCACTCTTTGCTTCAAGGCAGAGCTGTTCCATCAGCAGAACAGCCAGAGCTGGATTTGTGTTGTGTTGAGGTAGAAAAATATATCCAGCTGATCCTGGAAGGATGTAAAATCCACGTGGATGTGGCACTTGGGGACGTGGTTAATGGTGGCCTTGGCAGTGCTGGGGGATGGTTGGACTTGATGGTCTTGAAGGCTTTTCCAGCCTGGAAGAATCTGTGATTCCGTGATTTCCTTCCCCCCTCTGGAGCTCATCCCTTTTCCCTGGACTTTGCCGTGTCCCTCAAGCCCCACATTGTCCTTAACTCTCCTTTTCCATCACTGTTTCACTGGATCACACGATCCCAGACTGGTTTGGGAGGGAAGGGGCCTTGGAGCAGCTGGTGGAACAGTTGGACTCGATGGTCTTGGAGGGCTTTTCATTTGATCTCGTCAAACCTGGCTTTGTGCAGTGACTGTGATTCCCCCCCAAACCCAGAGCTGCTGAACAGGAGGGCAAACTTGGGCATCTCTCGTGTCTAACCCGGCACTGGAACTCCCGTTTCCCCTCAGGTTCGACTTCGAGAGCGTGGAGAACAGCGTGGAGAACCCCATGGACAAGTCCAAGCCCTGGAGCCGCTCCATCGAGGACCTGCACCGGGGCACCAACCTGCCCTCGCCGGTGGGGAACAGCATCTCCCGCTCGGGCCGCCACTCCACCCTCCGGTACGGGGCCCTCTGGCCGGGGGGGGCTTCTCCCCCCTTGCAGTGCTCAGGGGAAGCCGTTCCTCTTCTCCAAAACGTGCCTCAGGATTTCCACGGGCCCGGCCAGGCTGGGGCTCTCCTCTGTGTCCCGTCTCTTCCAGAAGCACGTTTCCTTCCGCGCTGCCACCCACCAGATCCGCTGTGTTTTTTCTGAAAGTCCACTTCCATCCTTCAAACCTGTGTGCCTCTCTCACCACCCCACGCTTTGCTACGGAGTCTCCCTTTCCCAGTCCTGCCCCATTTTTGTTGTTGGATTTGTGGAAAAGGCGGGATCATTTCCCAGGAGTGGTTGACAGCCAAGCCTGCCCCATTCCTTGGATGTTCCACTACTGAAACCAGGCACCTCCCTCAGGCTCCAGCAGTGTTACCTGGAGTGCTGGATGCTTGGGGTTTTTTTTTTGGTTGCTACAAAGCCCTGTGAGTGTAGAAGAGTCCAAAAAAAGATGGAGTCAGTGAGAACTGGCTTCCAGCTCTTTCCTTGCAGCAGAGGTTGTTTTGCTTTGCCAGGCAGGTGACCTTGACCCTTGGGTTGATGCTCAGTGCCCGAGTGGCTCTGGAGCAGTACCTGGAAAATTGAGTTCCCAGCCCTCAGGCAGTGGAGAGGAGGAGCCAGGCACAGCTCTGGTAGAGAAATCCAGGCTCTGGAGTGCAGCAAAATCACTTGAGCCATTGATTTATTATTTTTTTGAGTGTTTTTGGTTTTCTCTGCTCCTTAATTGCTCTGACAGGAACGGCAGAGCCCTGTGCTGGTTCCATCTGTTTTTGGGAGGAGAGCTTGGGATTAGAAATGCCTGAGTCAGGAATACATTACATGTCTCTTACATTGTTTCTCTTCCTTTCCTTCCATCCTTTTTCCTTTCTTACATCTCCCTTTATTCCTCACCTCTTTGATTCCCCCTCTCTCTGTCTCCTTCATTCCCTTCTCCCTCTCAAAACGCTTCTCTCTCACCCTCCCCTCCCCTCACACACCATCAGATTGGTTTCTCTGCCCGAGCAACTTGAGTTCAAACGCTGCCAGAGCTGCTGGTCAGCCACCTGCCTCTGGAGCAGCTTCACTTTGGGCTCTGCCGATGAGGCTCCCGGCCGGATAATCCCGTAAGTCCCGAGTGGAAGGTGCTCCGGAGCCGGGGCTGCGCAGGGCATGGAGCCAGGGGCCAGCAGTGCCCCCCATGCCGGATAATCTGGTATCCACACCGCTGGCCGTGCCCCAGGGGGGTGTCCCAGCGGGTGGCTATCACATTATAGAATTCCCAGAGTTGTGGCTTCCGTAGAGCGGCGTTTTCGCGGAGAGCGGGAAACGGGGCTGGCTTGGGAGCGAGCTCCGAGTTCTCCCGGTCCTGCTGCGAGTAGCGTTGCCAGTGTTGTACCTGGAGCATAGAGCCTTTAGTTGTTGTCCATCTTTTTTCATCTTTTGGTTGTAAATAGAGACTTTATTCAGAGAAACAGAATTTAACACCACGTTCTCCAGCCGAGTCCCTCCAGAGCCATCTCAGCGCTGGGGCAGCTCAGGCACAAACTGTGTGGAATTGGCACGTTTGGATCGGTCTTTGTTGTTGGTCTTTTTTTTTTTTCTTTTTTTTTTAACTCTGTGTTTTAAAATGTGTGTTTTTGAAAAGGCGTGGTTTGAAAATGTATATTTTTCAATACCTGGGGACGATGTGTATTTAAAAAAGGAAAAGCTAAAGGTAGGTGGGCAGCTTTTAAGAAGGTTGTTTTTTGTTTTTTGTCTTTTTTTTGTGGAATTGCTAAATAATTGAAATGGAATCTGTTCCTGAGAATGAGGTAGGTGCTCATCAGGTGAGGAGGGGTGTGCAGGGTAATGGTTTTGGGCAAAACCAGGAGGTTCCTTCCCTGCCACTGAGTGGTAAATGAGGATCGTGGGATGTGTGGACAGCCAGGCTGTGGGTTCTGCTGTGTCCTGGAAGCTGCTCTTCTGTCTTTCTCATGGAAACCATTCAGGTGGGAGAGAGGAATCCAGAATCCCAGGATGGTTTGGGTTGGAAGAGACCTTAGAGCTCATCCCATTCCACCCCCATGCACTGGCAGGGACACCTTCCACCAGCCCAGGTTGCTCCAACCTGGCCTTGGACACTTCCAGGGATCCAGGGGCAGCCCAGCTGGACTGAAAGATGTGCTCCTCCCTCTTGGATGAAAAAGGAGAAGGCTGTCAAACCTTACCAGGATAATTCCAAATTCCGGAGCTGGCCCGGGGTGGACTCGGAGCTCTGGGTGTCCCTT